AGATTTTCTATAAATTTATAGTTAACATGGATATATATATAGGTTAGAACTAATTAACACAGTTATAACCAAGTGTCGTTAGCTCAACTGGTAAAGATCCTAGGCGAAGCTTAGAGATCGCCGGTTCGAATGACGTTTGGGATGAAACTAATATTATATGCTGTGGTTTCGGGTCTGGGGGGATTATGGGTTTTGACCCTGAACCTTTTGGTATTCAAAAAAAAAAAAAAATTAACACAGTTATAAAAACAAAATAAATTATATGTATGTGTTGGGATGATTTTTCGATCACCGACTTATCATCTGCGAGAAGATAAATAAAAAATGTGTTAGTTATGAAATCAAGTGATTCTATAAATTCATGATCAGTTCATACATTTAACAGTGCAAAATGAATTTTAGATACTCCAACAAACTAGGTAAAATTTTATTTCGTTAACGTATCTTTTTTTTGTTAATTGTTAATATATCTTTTTTGTTAGATATCTTTTACTAATTTCGTGATCCCTAACCATTATATCCATGTTGAGTTGACCTCTCACGCTCATTTAGAACTCATCTCATACTGTAGATCCGAATTGTCAAAACCATATTTTCGATTTTTTTTCCTCTTCAGCTAGTGATATGATGCTAGAAATTTTACATTCTAGATATCTCAGGATTTAGTGCACACAAAATAAAAAGATATCTCAGATTTATTACAGTAAATACTATCGATTTCTAAAATTCAAAAGATAATACTTATGTTGAAATACTGATTTAAAAACAATGATAAGCTCTCAATTAATAAAGTTTATATAGCTGTTTGTTTTCTTTAACAAACAAAAATATATAGCTGTTTGTTAGTAGTATAGTATAGTTGAATTTATTCTATGTTCCTATATATGACACAATGAACCTGGACGGAGTGAGAGAAAAACAAAACGATGAGCACCACTTGTGTTTTACATGTAATGGGATGACAGCAGTAGAAGACAAAACAGTTGTAATTGTACTACTCATTTGACTTTCTATTTTCATCCCAAAATAATTCAAATTTTTTTTTGTAAAAAAAAAAGAACAAAATACAACGGTACCGCCAAATGGTTTTCAAGTTTTAACACCTAATTTAGTGGTCAATTTTCATTTTTTTTTAGTTTAGAAAGTAAGTTTGGGAATAAACTACAATGGTACCTCCATATTGTTATATTTTTAACACGTTTTTAAACAATTAATGTGTTGTTATACTCCATCTGTCCCATATTGTTTGTAGTTTTAACTAAAAGCATGCTTATTAAGGAAACTTTTTTTTTTTCTTAAATTTATTTTGAATTTTCATATCAATCTCATCAACTCTCGTTTGCTGTCTTCTTACTCATCCCACTATCACGTTTATTGTTTGGACTTCTTTGACCAAAATTTATTAATTATTTTCGGATTTAAATTAATTACTGAAAAATATAAATTGTTGGAATAAGTAAAATTTTGTATAGATATGTGAGAAAAACAAACAAATTGGAACAAAAAAAAGCCTAAAACTACAAACAAAATGGAACGAAGGAGTATATGATAACGATGTAGTATGATGCTATTCTATCTAATGCTACAATGTGTTGTATTTATATTCACTCATAGTTGAGATATTTTAATTTTAAAATGTTTTTAATAAAATAATAACAACTATGCGCATGAACTTTTGGTCGAGCCATGCAAAAAGTTGACTTCCATATATTTATAATTTTGAAACAATTTTTTTTTTTTGGAAACAATTTTGTTTGCCAAAGTGTTACGGATTTTTGCTATCTCGCAATAAATAAAAGGAACATTGCGTACAGGTAAAAAAACAACCTTAACTTTGAATAGGTTTCATCCCAAGAGTCGAAAGAAAAAAATGGACAAAATCCAGATCAGGAAACGATTCTCCATCGGCTTGTCACATTTTTGTGTGAGTGCAATTCACATATTCTCGTAAGACTAATTTTTCAGATGACTATCTACCACATATAAAGAGAACGTAAGGAGTGAACACACAACCAGAGTCACCAACCAGTAGCCCTCTTAGTTCGTCATTGAGAAATCGATCATGGTGTGTTAATCACCTTTTTCTAGTTTTATTAAAGGATGCTAAAAATAAGTTATAGTAGATTAATCATATTTTTCTAGTTTTATTTTTAACATGCTTATAGTATATAGCAGAATCATTTTTTCAAAACGTTAAAACTTAATCAACATTTGGAATGGTAAAAAATAACAGAATCACGTTTTCACGGTTTTCAACATTCATCACCTTTGTAGATAATTCTTTTTTTTTTTTTGGATTTTATATTTCAACAAAAAAATAAAAAATAGTGAGTTTAATCCTAGATCCGGTAGATATATAAGTACTTCAGAGTCCAATAAGATGTAGTTAGAGTGGGTTCAAGGAGTATGGAAACGTTTCTCGAAGCAGGTGTTAGAACTTTTCTCGAGGCAAGTATGGTTAGAAGGGTCATTCCCAACCAAAAATCTTTGATGCGAGATGAACGGAAGAGAACGTTGCCTTATGTGTTAGACAGTCACAAGTTTTAATTGCATTAGGCGTATGACTTTTTTTTTTTTTGTTGATGTTTGTGTTAAATCTCTCTTTAGTTAATAATTTACAGTAAAAACCGTATACAATCATGCTTCTCACTGGAAGCAATATGATTGTGTTTATAAAAGTTACATGATCTCGATCTTAAGACCAGATTTTAATGTAGTCGGGTCAGATCATCCTAATCATAGGATTCAAAGAGACATACTTTCAGTCTGATTTAGACGGGTGCGAGTTGGTGCGATATGGTGCAACTGGTTGGCTTAAGGTATATGTCTCTTCGTACTAGTGTATTTAGTGTCTTGACGACTCTGTGTAGTTTGAACATCGGTGAACCACCTAGCATCGTTCTCATAACTTTTCTTAATAAGTCTACATTGTGGTGCCCTTATCTTAGAATTTGTCGGGAAGGTAAAATATTATGTCATATTTATTCTAGGTGATTCTAGTGTAACGTATTCTCATATTGTGGGTGGATTTAGCAGCTGCAAAAATTCTAAAACTTTAATTTTAGGCTGTTAATATATCATTAGTTATATACAGAATTATAGCTAAACATTATATCTAGTCCGACTGGCCAGATTTAGTTGGAATGTGGCCCTACTATTCGTCGAGTTTTAACAATCAATGTTTTTTAACATTTCTTTTAATCGTGACCAACAATATTCAGTTGATATTTTAAGCATTGATATGTAGTATTATTGTACATGAATAGTACTCTGGCATATTATACAACTTAAACACTCTCTCTATTTCAAAATAAATGATGTTTCAGAGAAACTTTTTTGTTTTAAATTAAGTATTGTTTCCACTTTTATATGCAAAATATTTCAATTTTTTTTTTACCATTTTTATTTTAGAATTTGTTTCATCACTGATTGAACTGTGTTTACGTACATAATAAATACTATTTTTATTTTAAAAAATTAAAAATTAAATATTTTTAATTTACGTATAAAACTTTTATACATTTAAGTATTCTGAAACCGGAAGAATAGTACTTAATCTAGATACAAATTTTGAACTAGCATTTTCTTGAATTTAATGTATAACTTTTTTTCTCTCGTATATCTATCATCACACCGCATAAATTGCCAAAGTCAACCTTTTGGCATTACTAGGGGTGTCAAAATGGATAAAAGTTAATGGATCAATCCAAACCAATCCAATCCATGGATATAATGAATGAGAAATTTGGATACTAATGGATTAATGGATTTAATGGATTAGTGAGTTTAATGAATTGGATTGAAATGGTTTATGTTAGAATGGATTAGTGGATTACTCATAACCAAACCAATAAAAATTAAACATTCTAAATCAAATGTCTAAACCAAATATAATCAAATCAAATGTCAAAACTGATTTTAATAAACCAATGTAGACATGATTTAACTATTAAATCCATGAAATAAATTTTTCCGCCAAAACGTGATTCAACATTTTCCCGCCAAAAATGCAATTCCGTAAAATTTTCCGCTAGAAATGGAATTTCGCATTTCCCGCCAAAAATATGATACTACATTTTTCCGCCAAAAACGCGATTTCCTATTTTCCCGCCAAAACCGTGATTCCGCATTTTTCCGCCAAAAATGTGATTCCGTGATTTTCCCACCAAAAAGTGATTCCACATTTTCCCGCCAAAAATGCAATTCCGTAAATTTTCCCGCCAAAATGTGATTCCGTGATTTTCCCACCAAAAAGTGATTTCACATTTTCCCGCCAAAAACATGATTTCGTATTTTTCCCGCCAAAATATGATTCTACATTTTTCCGCCAAAAACATGATTCCATATTTTCCCCCGCCAAAAGCGTGATTCCGGATTTTCCCACGAAAACGTGATTCCGTGATTTTCCCGCCAAAAACGTGATATCATAACTCATTTATGTCATTAATTATTATTTGTAGCATTATATGATGATAATATTTATTAATTAATTAATTATTTTATTTTCATGGATTAACTCATTTAACCATTAAACCATCAAATAATTGGATTAATGGATTGACTCAATCCATTTAACAAATGAGTTGGATCAACTCATAAACCATTTAAGCCTAAACTCATTGGATTATGGATCGGTTTGAATCGGTTTATCCATTTTGACACCCCTAGGCATTACATTCCTCCCAAAACCATATTAATTTATACACCTCAAATATTATTCAATACTATTATCATATCTTAATTTATAAATAAATATGTATATGTTGGCTTCGCTGAATTTATCAAAGTGTAACATGTTTTCTCTTACAAAAAAATTAAATCCAAGTTGTGTGATCTAGAGTTGACTTTTAAATATATCACAACTTATATAAACTACGCAGCAACACTCCAATCTCTCAAGAAAATCTACAATTCCTCCAAATAATAATATCCTCCATCTAAGGTTTAAAACTAGACCTCATTAACACATTATGACGCTAGTCATTACTTCATTTCTAAATAATGTTTATTGGTAACAATTGCAGGAAATTAAAATTTCAACAATCATGTCCGGGACTTATCCGGACGGAGGAGGGTCCGGTGCAAGAAACCCAGCAGAAGTTCGTCAGCGAGTGCTAGCTCCTCCGAAAGCGGGTTTGCTAAAGGACATCAAGTCGGTGGTTGAAGAAACTTTCTTCCATGATGCACCCCTTAGGGATTTCAAGGGCCAAACCCCAGCTAAGAAAGCGTTACTCGGGATCCAGGCTGTCTTCCCGATCATTGGTTGGGCCAGAGAGTACAATCTTCGCAAACTTCGAGGCGATGTAATTGCCGGTCTCACCATTGCTAGTCTTTGTATCCCTCAGGTTTACTATTCGAGACTCCATTTTTCTAAATTCCACGTACTTTTTGGTGCATTTCTTCCTTTTATATCAAACCCATATCTATATCTCATTTGTATGTTTTATGGAACACAGGATATCGGATATGCAAAGCTCGCGAATTTGGATCCAAAATACGGACTTTGTGAGTCTTAATACATTTAACCTAAGTATTTTTTTTTGTTTGTTAGAAAATTACGAGATTTGATAGTATTTGTAGCAAATCCATAAAAAGTAAGAGTATTTATATTCTCTTGTGTGCAAATATTTGAATGCATGGCTTTTTGGTGCAGACTCGAGTTTCGTGCCACCACTGGTGTACGCGGGCATGGGGAGTTCTAGAGATATTGCGATAGGACCAGTCGCGGTGGTGTCTCTTCTTTTGGGAACTTTGTGCCAGGCCGTCATCGACCCAAAGAAAAACCCGGCTGATTATCTCCGACTTGCCTTCACTGCCACTTTCTTTGCTGGCATTTTCCAAGCCGGCCTCGGTTTTCTGCGGTTGGGATTCTTGATAGACTTTCTGTCGCATGCTGCGGTTGTTGGGTTCATGGGAGGAGCAGCCATCACAATCGCTCTCCAACAGCTTAAGGGCTTTCTTGGCATCAAGACATTTACCAAGAAAACTGATATTATTTCTGTTATGAAGTCCGTATTCAAAAACGCTGAGCATGGGGTACCTTTTCACTACTCCAAAAATCAATAAGTTCGAAGCCTAGGCTCAAATACTTAATATCTAAATAAATTAATATCTCATTCGCTTTGGTTTTATTCATGATTTCTCCAGTGGAATTGGCAAACTATAGTCATTGGCGCCAGTTTCTTGACCTTTCTTCTCGTCACCAAATTCATTGTAACCCTTTTCTTTTTCATCTCCAATATATATATATATATTTGTGTATCTTTATTATCTCCATTACTAATATGAAATTTGATTACAGGGGAAGAGAAACAGGAGACTTTTTTGGGTTCCAGCAATTGCTCCTCTTATTTCAGTCATTATCTCTACCTTCTTTGTCTTCATAACTCGTGCTGACAAACAAGGAGTCCAAATTGTAAGCTCACACATTCATGTCATGAACAATACGTTTTGTTTTTTTGAATGAAAATGAATAATACGTTTTTATCATCATTAATGATTAATATTTATGGATTCACTAGTTTACCAACAATATTTTTATCATATAAACTATGAAGGTGAAACATATAGATCAAGGAATCAATCCGATATCCGCTCATAAGATTTTCTTCTCCGGAAAATATTTGACCGAAGGAATCCGAATTGGAGGCATTGCTGGTATGGTCGCTTTAACGGTAAGTCACATATGTATGCATATATATAAATATGAACTCATTATCTTTTGTATTCTAATTTGGGGATCCCTTCTAATTCGATAAATTATGTCGGAATAATTTTTTTTTCCAGGAAGCTGTAGCGATTGCAAGAACATTTGCAGCAATGAAAGACTATCAAATCGATGGAAACAAAGAGATGATTGCTTTGGGAACTATGAACGTTGTTGGTTCACTCACTTCTTGTTACATTGCCACGGGTAAGCTGCGAAAACTTTAAATTTTATTCGAGTTTCGTTAAACTTCGAATGGCTATATATCATTTATTCTAAAGATCTATAGGTTTCCTATATTAAATATGAATTTATACTTTCCTATATTTATTCTAAAGATCTATAGGTTTCCTATAGTAGATCATTTATTCTTGTTGATTGTTTTACATGCATTGCAACTTCTTGATTTTAATTTTAACAAAAAAAAAACTTCTTTTTAATTTATATTTGCATGTTAAAGATAGTTTTATAATTATAGGTCTCAATCTATGTACATAAGGGCATTCGAAAAGATTCAAACGTAACCAACCCAATTTTTGCAAAAATAATTTGATCGATACAAATAATTTAATTTTAAAATATTTCCATTGCTATTTGAGTAATTTATTAATATTTTTACTTTTTTTTTTTCACTTCACAAATAGATAAAAAGTTGTAATGATCTACGAGAAAATATGAAGATGGTTTTGGATCTGTCTGCGAATAATTTTTAAAAAACAAAGCGGATTAGATGTTAGTTTATATATTTCTTGATTAAAGACGGTCATGTGTAACATACTTTTGATAAAATTATAGGTTCGTTTTCACGATCTGCCGTGAACTACATGGCGGGAGTCCAAACCGCGGTTTCAAACATAGTGATGGCCATAGTGGTAGCTCTAACCTTAGAGTTCATCACACCACTCTTTAAATACACTCCAAATGCTATCCTCGCGGCCATCATTATATCGGCTGTCCTCGGTCTTATCGATATTGACGCTGCGATTCTTATATGGAGGATCGATAAACTCGACTTCTTGGCTTGCATGGGAGCATTCTTTGGAGTCATCTTCATCTCTGTTGAGATCGGGCTCTTGATCGCCGTAAGATCGCTTACATCATAGAATGTTAATATTATCTATGTATAAAGCTTACTTATTTTTGGTTGTTGGTGAAACTATATTATATAGGTGGTGATCTCTTTTGCAAAGATACTGCTGCAAGTGACGAGACCAAGAACGACGATTCTAGGGAAGCTGCCAAATTCGAACGTGTATCGGAACACTCTACAGTATCCGGACGCTGCTCAGATTTCCGGAATCTTGATCATCCGTGTTGACTCCGCCATCTACTTTTCCAACTCCAACTATGTCCGAGAAAGGTAAAAATATATATCTACACATCATCCTTCATTATGCTAACTTATTAAATTCAAATATGGTTATTGAGAAAACATTTGTTTTTAAAAGAGATATGTTACAAATTATAACTAGAAAGTAAATGATTTTGTAAACCATGCTTTTTTTATTCTATGAAATTATTAGTTTATTTTAATATTCTAAATAGAATATAAGAAAACTAAAACCTCACTACATAACACAAAACGGTTATAATTAAGAAAATAATTGAATTAGTCGTCGGGGCAATTTAATGAGATGGACTAATACATTTTGATGTATATATGTAAGAGTCATGAAATAATTGAAATTTTGTGACAGGGCGTCAAGATGGGTGCGAGAGGAGCAAGAAAACGCTAAAGAAGAGGGCAGGCCGGCAATCAAATTTGTGATTATTGAGATGTCACGTAAGAATAATTCTAAACCAAAAAATAAAATAAAAATCAACTAATCTAATTATGAGCTCATATGGTAGAAGTATTACATATTTTTAGAGGTACAAAATTATTGATGGTAGTATGAATGTATATGAGCAGCTGTTACCGATATCGATACCAGTGGTATTCACTCCATCGAAGAACTTCTCAAGAGCCTCGAGAAGCAAGAGATTCAGGTAACCATATATATATATATATATATATATATATATATATATATATATATATATATATATATATATATATATATATATATATATATATCTTCTATTCCTCAATGTAACATTTATCAGTAATTAGCTTAGTTATTGAAATTGATTCTTTTATATTTGTTATAGTCATAAGCAAAACTATCAATACTAGTTTTGATTAATTTTGGTCTAGAATTTTAGAGCTTTATATATAAAAACATGCAATAACGAAATTTCTGACAATACAATAAATTTAGATGAATTTAATAATTCTTGTAAGAATGCTAATTAAGTATTTTATTTTTAAGAGATACTTTTTTCATTTTAATATTTGCAAATAACTAAAGTAAATAAAATACATCTTTTAGCATGTTTACCTAAATTAATGGTATTGTAGTACTTGATTAATATGAGATAATATGATGTCAATGATTAATCTGATTAATTGACCTGAAATTGAACAGTTGATTCTAGCAAATCCTGGACCAGTGGTGATTGAGAAACTTTATGCTTCCAAGTTCGTCGAGGAGATTGGAGAGAAAAATATCTTCCTTACTGTTGGCGACGCGGTGGCAGATTGTGTTCCAAGATTGGCTGAACAACAAGCTTAATAGCGTTTATTCATATATAAACACATCCATATACGTATGTGTGTATATATGAGGGGAATTGATTTATCAAATAAAAAACTATGGTTATGTTATTTTTTTGAGATGACATGATAATATGTGTAATATATGCATGGTTGTTTGAGTTTGTTTGGTTCATACAATGGTGAAATTGGGACAAAGTCGAACGTTTGATTTTTTTATTTTTATTTTTTTAATCTTTCAAATGTTATTTCTCTCGTGATTTGTGTTTTGTTTGAGATGATGAATAAATTGTACTTTCAACTTATATTAACAATTGTATTATATAACCCGGATTTTCTAATTTTTTTTATATATCTGCTGGAAGTGTTTATTTATCCAACCAATGATCTCAATTACACAATCCATTTAAATTTTGGTTCAATATCCACAATCTTTATTTTAGGTATAAAAAAATTCAACTTTATATTTGCTTGAAATTTATTTTGAATCTTGAGTTGATCTATGAGTTGGAAACCTTGTGTCCGAATATTCCAAATAATACTTCTAAAAGAGTTTTATAAATATTAGGGAAGATTGAGCCAAACTATACAAATAGAATTTTTATGTTATATATTATACTAAACTTAATACATCGGGAAAGTATTCTTAGTCAAATTTTTAATTAAACAGTTTATTTCTGCAGCTTTTTCTATTGGAATTTGACTTCAATAAATCACGTTACCTTGTATTATAAAGATTAAGCTATTTGTTGGAAGTTGTCCACCTGACTGTTGATGTATGAAAAAAAATAAAAAAAAAATAAATAAGAAACTTAGATAAGGTCAACATAACAATCTCATCTCAATCTATTTAACATATCAGATATTATTTGCATCATCAAGCTTGTTAATCATATTCTTAATTCACTAATTGGCATTTTTTAAAATAGATTGGGATTAGTGTGACTAGCTTACAGCTAGATACTGTTCATAAAGCCGCTTAAGAGGGTATATACATCCATCCTTGTTCCCTGGCATAAGATTAACCAAACGTCAACCATATATATGATGACCAACTAAACAATAATATTAGAATACAACTACTAATATAAATTAACAAAAACTTCTCAAATTAACGCTTTATCTACGTGATGAAAACACAAGTGAACATTAGAAATTAAAGTACACAAACAAGTTGGGCCGGGGCACCAACATGTTTTCCTACTATTGCTCAAAATCATTTTTAAATTGGTAACAACGATTATGTACACACTCTAGCATGAACGAAATACCAGGTTTCATACTGAGATACCGACTATTTTAGATACGAGTTTTAAAACAGTGAACCATCTCATTTGAAACGTGTTAACTCACGTCAAAAATATAGAAATTCTCTAAACTAATGTCAAATTCGGCTTTCTCCAAATTTAGTGGTTACTTGAGAATAGAAGATGATTTCAGAGGGCCGGGCCGGTCCAATCATATTTGAGGAATTGAACCTATAATGGGTGTGTAAGGAAAGAATGTCCTTACCACTAGACAATAAAGCAACTACAGGACTAAAATGTTGCCTCTAATATATATAAGATATTTTTAGCGCTTAAAGCCCTTGCTTGATGGGCTTTAGCCCAGGGTCGGCCCTAGACTGGTCTTCAAATTTTCCATAAGTTTTTCCAAGCCTGACTATAAAATAAGTTATATATATTACCTTCTCCCTATAGATTAGTCTTGGATCCTTCCATAGGCCTGGAGATTTACATTGAGTTATCAAACAAAAAAAAGTTAACTTCATGCATATATCATAGTGGAGAAAGGGGTTACCTTTAGAGTTCCATCAAATTGTTAGTGTATCTATTTCAATATCTGGTCGTTTCATGCTACACACGATATGCTATCAAAGTTAGAAATACGATTTCAGAATGCATAATTTTACTTTATGTTCCATGCTCTGTTTATTTATTTATTTAGGCTCCGTTTCATCAAGCCATATCTGTAGTAGGGATGAGAAGTTTGTAAATATTTTCTATTTTTGAGTAATAAATTACACTTCAGGGTATCGGTGTTTCATTGATGGCTCTTGGAAAGAGAGTGACAATTTATCGGGTTTAGGATGGTTTCACACACTGCAAGGTGAAGATGAACCAATTATGGGTGCTGCCAACCTTCGACGAAGTCTCACATGTCTACACTCAGAAGTGGAAGCATTAGTTTGGGTATGATTGGTCAAGACTAACGCGAAGTAAGCTTTTATACAGACTGCTCAGACCTGGTGGAGATGGTGTCTTCTCCGACGGAGTGGCCAGCTTTCTCGACCTACCTAGAGAGCTATTCAGAGCGACAAGGATGAGTTTGATTTTTTCTCTTTATCTTTGATTTCTCGACGTGCGAATTCAAAAACGGATAATTTGGCACGAAATGTTCGTACCCAACCGCAACTAATCACCTATGTAAATAATATTCCTTAGAATTGGCTATTTTAAACTAATCTAATAAAGTTGTTGAAAAAAAAAAAGAGAAATAAATTACACATTCAACCAATTTCTTTTCTTTTTTTGGGGAAAACGGTTTCGAGGACGACAATTCTTGAATGTTTGTTATATATAGATAAAGAGCATTTCTTGAATACTGATCACAAGGGAAATGGTGTGGCAGGTAAACTTGCAAAAGATATTTAAGTAGTATATACGAAATCATTTTTGATTAATGTTTAGCTAATATACTAAGCTCAACATTAGACATGTCAATTAGGGCCAAAGCCCGCGGGCTAACCCGGCCCAGCCCTGAAAAACAGCGGGTTCGGGCTTCAAAATATATGTCCAGAAAAAAACGGGCCTTTCGGGCTAAAGGTTTTTTGGGCTTAGCCCGGCCGGGCTCGGGCTAGCCCGAAAAGCCCTTTAAAAAATATTTTGACCTTTTTTTTTTAATATTTTCGTTTAATTGTAAGATTTGTTGTAAAAAAATTTTTGGACAGAGTTGAAAACCCTAAACTTAGTTTTATTTTGTTGTGTATTACTATAAATCGAAAAAACAAATATTAGCTCTACTACCTAATTTGAATTATTTTGATTTTATATTTTATTTAGTATAAGTTTAAACAATTTATTTGGATTATTTATTTGATTTTAACTCTCTTTTTTAAAAACTAAATTAGCGTTAGTGGTTATTTAAATTTTGATTAACTCGTTTCATATATAGATTTTTTTTTAAGAGATATTAGAAATTATAAGTTTTTTTTTTAGTCGGAAGAAAAGCCCAAAAATGTCCGGAAAAGCCCTGTAGCCCTGTTAGGGCTGGGCCGGACTTTAAAATATAGGCTCGGAATTTTCACGGGCCGGGCCGGGCCGGGCTCAGATATGTACGGGTTTTGCGGGCTTCGGGTCGGGCCGGGCTAGCCCGATTGACATGCCTACTCAACATCAATACTTTAATATAAATATATAAATACTTGTAGATATAGTTAGTTGGTTATTTAAATTTATATCTTGTAGATATATTAATTTTAAGTAATAAGTACCCATTTCTTATATTCGTCTTGGGCCCTCAAGGTTTATAGGATCTAAGCCTAATCGAATTAAGGAGCCCAGCGCATATTTCACATTGTGTACTACGGTTGCATGATTAAAACTTAAAAGCATCAAAGAAACATCATGTCTTCAAATCACAATCATAACAATGTTGAATTCATAGATGCAATACAAAGAAAATAAAAATAAAAGCTGTGATTAATTAGAAAAAGCCGAAATGTAAGCGACAGAAGAAACAATAACGAAAACAATGGTGAGTGCAGGAACTGAGAGGATGTTTGTGCCAGAGGTTGTAGGAGAAGGTGCAGTCATTGACGGTGTCTCATCCGAAGATGGGGAAGTTGCCGAAGATGGGGAAGTTGCCGAAGTTGCTGGTGACTTGGCTGCGGATGGTGAAGTCGTAGGTGTTCCGGCTGATGGGGAAACTGCATCCATATCATCATTTATACATTATATCTTTTAACATACAAAAGTACGTTTATTATAAAAAAATAGAAAGGTGTAACACAAATGCAATGTGAGTAACACAATAAAAATTATTAGTATAACGAAATTCTAATTGAATATGAAATGATATATCTGATAACTAAACTAACAAAATGAAACTTAACTGAAGTACCACATACTAATATATATATATATATATATTTTAAATGCCTTCTCAGTCAATCCCAAAAAATGAAAGAACACACACTTGGAAGAATAAAACTAGGTTGAAAATAATATTGAGCTAAGTTTTTATCATTTGAAATTAAAAAAAAAAAAAAACTGAAAAAATGATTCAACACATTCACTTCAAAAAATTGGAAAGAATTATAAAAGAAAATTGTTCAACTCATTCAACTACTATTTTTAACTCATTTGTTTTCAAACTTATATTTTTCCAATCATTCTTCTAGAGACAAACTTAATTACGAACATAATCGGTAATCAAATTGAATAAAATAAAATTAACAAAACATGAAGAAAGTCAACACGTACCAGGAGATGCAGGAGATGCACCTGGTGTCGTAGCACCTGAAGTTATTATACCTGCAAGGAAAAAATATAATCAAACGCCAAAAAAAAAAAAAAAACCTTAATATTTAGACAAAATAAAAATAAAAGATCACCACAATGAGGAGGAGCAATGGAGAGTTTGCAAGTCTTAGGTGTTGCAAGGGCTCGTGTGTTATTCAATTCAATTCCCATTTGGCCAGCACTAACCAAACCAGCACAAATACATTGTGGATTATATTGTAAAACAGTTTCAATTCCAACACAACACGATTTCTCTGGCATAGTCTCGTTTGATCCGACACCAAGGTACGTGAGACAATCCATCATGCTAAATATTACTGAAGAACAATCAGAACCTGATGGTCCTGGTGCCGGAGCACCAACGGGAGACTTTGCCGGATTTGATTTGTTACGTGCATGGATTGGTGTAACGAGTGATGATGATGAAAGTAATAGTAACACGAAGGAAAGAAGAAGAGATTGCTTCATTATTGATGTTTTTTTCTTTGAAGAGCGTAAGAGTTTATTGGTTTCTTATTGTTAATTTGCTTTATGTTTTCTTGAGGTAATAGAAGAATGGGGTTTATATATGGAAGTGAAGTTAGGAAAAAGAAAAGATAAGAATTGAGTTGTTTGTTTTTTCTTTGAATCTGAAGTCCTATTCTTGTTCCTTTAATCTTGGAGATTAGAAATTAGTGTTGAATAGGTTGTTAGTTTGTTATAATCGATTTGAATCTTTTGTTCTGTACTTCTGTTTGTTAAATTGATTATTTGACTTTCTATTTTTTTTTTGTTTTACAGCT